GTTAATAATTAGTGAGATTTAAAAAATATATTAAAATAATATTTAAAATAAAATGATTAAAATTGATTTGATATAAAGTATGAGATAAATGATTGGAAATGATTGGTAGTTAAAATTATGTGAGTGGATGAATAGTGAATTAAAGTTGATGTGATGTGTAAGAATGATTGGTTTATATTATTTAATTATATGAATAATATTAAAGATAGTGAGGTTAAGTTAAAGTTGAGTTAGATTTTGAGTTGAAATATTTGAGGTGAAATATTTTGTAAACAATCACTCCTCCTTAAGCTTGCAAATAAAATTAGTATAAGCTAAACATCAAGGTGATGCCATTTTCTTTTATACAAGTTTCGTGGCTATAAATTATCCAAAAAGAACTAATACTTACGGGAAATTCTACGGTCTCGTACGACCCCATCGGGTGTTTTAACCGTTAGATCATCTAATTAATTTAACTTTACGTGGATCCATTGTACCAAAAAAAACTATATGTTGATCCAACGTGTTAAAACACCCGACGAGATGTACGGTAATTGGACCTTAACATATTCCGGGAGGAGAACTGGCCTGCCGATTTCTTTGCTAGCACGGGAGCATCGATACCCCCAGAAACGCATCATTCTTCCTGATGACATTCCCCTCCGGCTTCAGACGCTCATTCTGATGGACCAGTTAGAGTACCCATCCTTCAGATTCGGTCGACCGCCACCTCCTGCTCCTGACTAGATTTGACATTTTGGACTCCATGCTAGGTCACTCTGACCAGGACGACCTTCTATGAGGATTTAATTTTAGATCCACAACGGATATTTTTGTGATCCTTGTATTTTTTATTTTTATTTTTATTTTTATTTTCACTTCTTTTGATGATGCTTTATATATTTCCAACTTGGATGTAGAACATTGACTTTTTAGCCCTAGCTGGGCTATTATATTCACAGGTCGGGGGTGTAGCCTCAACCCCCATCCCAGTCTAGGATGTTTATTTTTTTAAAAAAAAAAACTCATTGCTATGTGCCAGTGTTCTAAAAGTCGGCCTAGGCGGCGCCTAGGCGCTCCTAGGCGGCCTAGGCGGGCTCAGCGGTTAGGCGGCGCCTAGGCGGGCGTAGGCGGACCTAGGCGCTCCTAGACGGGCTCGACGGCAATTTTTCAGTTTTTTTTTTTTTTTTAAATACTAATTATATTATTTTGTTCTCATGTTTTTTTTAAATATATTAATATTATTATTTAGACTTAGGTGTGTCGATTTATTATAACTTGAGATACTTTTATTTTGTTAGTAGTTAAATAAATAAAAATAAAGTATTTAATATTGATTTCTAGGCCCCGACTAGGTGCTGCCTAGGCCCGCCTAGGCGCTAGTCGCTGATCGAGCGCCTAACGGGCGCCTAGCGACTTTTAGAACACTGCTATTTGCCTTTTCTTGTGATACACAACCCACCAGACCTCGGGGTTTACTGTTTTGTTTCGTTTTTAAAGCATGTT